GGAGCTGTTCAGGCCACGCCCATGCGAGCGAAGTCCAACCTTTCTATTGGGTTGAATGCCTGTTCATCCTCAATCCCGGCCCAATCGTAAGCTTGCGTGGCACTTGGAACCGCACGGAGGTATGGCTGTACCAAGCTGTGGGCGCAGCCTGGTAACCTCTCTGTCTTTACCAGGAGAAAGGAGTCTGGGTCTTGGGGCTGGCTGGAGAGTGGGCATGGGAAAAATATCCTAGCGGAAATGCTCTTATTCGTGCAAGAATTATTTATTGAATGCTTACCCTGACAAAATCCTTGCAAATGAACTACACGGTTTGGCCCCCTTTGATACTCTTATCTCCTTCTCTTAACTGCTGCGGTTCCAGGCACACTGGCCTCCTTAGCAGTTCCGTAAACGTGCAGGCTGGCTTCCCCGTAAGGGCCTTTGCACTTGCTGTCCCCTTGGCCTGGAATGCTCTTCTTGCAGTTGGCTCCCTCCATCATGTCCTGCAGGTCTTTGTTAAAATGTCACCTTATCAATGAGTCCTTCTCAGTCCAAATTTTTAAAATTGCTATCTTGTCAGTTTCTTCCCTACTTTATTTCTCCAAAGCACTTATCTTCTGACATACTGTATCCTTCCTTTTATTGTTTATCTTTTTTTGTCTCCCTCAATATATAATAGAAGCATCATAAAGGAGCAAGTTTTGTCTCATTCACCATTGTTTCTCTAGCACTTAAAACAGTTTCTGGCACATAGTATAGGTACTCTATAAATATTTGTGGAATGAATGAATTTCTTGTGTGAATAAAGGGGGCTTCTGGGGACTGGAAGAGGAAGCTGTGAAAGAGACTTGCTTTTGCCCTTCCCCTCAGCCGGGCCTCCAAAGCTTCTCACGTACTGTGCTGGGTGCAGTGTCCAGGCCTAACTGGGTTGGGGGCCTCTTATGCATTCTGTGTTCATCAGCGTTGTAATTATTTGTGGAACTGCCTGTTTACATGCCTGCATTCACCCCCTTATTTCCAAAGCCCAAATCCCTTCCCTGCTCCCCTGTGCCCTCAGGACAAAGTCCAGGCCCCTTACCATGGCCCACATAGGCAGTTCCAACTGGAGCTTTGTGAACTGAGCCATGGTCCCCTCTCCAGCCATGCTGATATTTTAGTTCATTGAACAGTGCTGTGAGATCTACCTCCAGGCCTTCGATTACTCTATTTCTTCTGACTGGGACATTCTTTGCCTACCCGACTTTTCAAATCAGCTATTCTCCAGGAAATTTTCCCTGACCACCCCCCTGCCCCCACCTCAGGCTAGGGCAGATCCCTCTTTTTGGTCCCCCTCTACCCCCTAGAGTTTCCCCATCCCAGCCCTGACCACTCTGGGCTGTCCCTGGCTGGTGATGGGTCTGTCTCCCCACTGGACTGTGAGCTTCCTATGGGCAAGGTCCAGGGTTGCCTTGGTCACTGCTGAGTTCCCAGCATGGCCCATAAGGGGACCACTCAGTAGGCTCTCTTTAGAGGCTCAGTAGTTCCTAGAACAGGGTAGGCTCTCCTTGGGGTCTGAGTTCTATGGCCCCCAGCTTGGAGTGGGGAAACAGAGTAGGTGGTTTTGGAACGTAAGCACTAGGTCTAATTCCTTGATGGCTCCTAGCACTGGGAGGTCACACAGTAAGCCCTTTTTGGAGTCTGAGTCCTCTCTTCAAGGTGGGGACAGTAAATAAACTCGAAAGTTAGTGATTGGTTCTGATTCTTGTGCAAGTTGCAGTACAGGGCAGGCACACGGTAGGCAGGCCCAGTGGGGACTGTCTGATTCCTCTGCGTGTCCCACGACACAGTGAGCACACGGTAGGTCCCCCGGTGTGTTTTGGGATCACACGGGGCTGTGGAGGCGATGTGGGTGTGCTGGTGCACACAGGCTCCCTAGCAGACGTAGTTAGTATCAGTGCGAAGGATGCAAACAGCACGCACAACGATGCTTGACCGTGTATTTTTATTGAGTCGTTGCTCCCTGTCCGCTCTCCACGCAGTCGGGATAGACTAGGCCAGGCACGCGGCCCCCGAAGCGGTACGTGTACTTGCGCCCCCCGCTCTTGCGCACGATGTCGCGGCGGTAGTAGTAGCGCAGACCTCGGCTCAGCTTCTCGTAATTCATGCCGGGCTTCCTCTTGCGCTCGCCCCACAGCCGCGCCACCTAGGGCGGAGGCCGGGCTTAGTCTGAGGGGGCGGGAGAGGTGGGGAGTGGGAGGGGCTTGACAATAGATGGGTGGGGCGGGGTTGGGGTTCTGGTCTGTCAGCATGGGGGTTAGGCCCGGCGGAGCGGGGCGGAGTTGAGGGCGAGGCTGAGGGCGGGGCCTAGCACTAGGCGAAGTGCTGGTGGGGCTAAACTGAACACAGGGAGACCCAGGCGGGACTAAGCGGGTCTGGGAGGCTGCCCCACCTCTTTGGGGTCGCAGAGTTGGAACTCGCGGCTATTGCCCGTCCAGCGGATGCAGCTGCTACGCGCCCCGTCGTGGAGTAGCTCCAGGAGGAACTGCCACAGCTGAATGGGACCTGCGGGGTGGAGGCAAGTGATTACTCAGGTTTCCTGGCCCCAGATCATGTCGCTTCGATGACCCAGGAATCCGGATCCCCTCCTCCTCGGGGACCGAGTCCGGATTCCTCCGTCTAAGGGACCTAAGAGTTTGCCTTGGGGACCCAGGCATCGGGGCCCCCATCTTGGAGATTTAGGAGTTTGGCTGCCCCATCTTGGAGACCCAGGGATCCATATCCTCATCTCTTTCCTCTTGCCTAATGCAGGAGCCCAGGTCCTCCTCCCTTGCTCCCGGGAAGACTACCCGTGTCTTAGTCCTCTCCTCCCTGGGGACCCAACAGGAGGGCCACCGTCCCCTCCTCTCTCGAGCCCCGCCAGTTTCCCGGTCCCGCCCCCTTTGGCGCCTAGGCCCCGCCTCACTAGACTCCGGTTTCGCTCCCTTGGGACAAAGTGTCTCGGACCTCACCTCGGTGGTTAGCTTTGGGGTAACAAGCCAAGGTTGCGCGGTCCGACTGCTGGCTCGGTTCGGAAGAATTGGTGAGATCTGAAGTCTGGTACTCCTTCGAAGAGGTGGTGCAGTCCGTATGCAGCCCCGAGTCCCAGGAGATGGTACAGTCCGATCCCGCAGGCCCGCCCCACGAAATGGTAGAGTCGGCGGGCGGCTCCCCGCCGAGGCTCTTGCCCCAATAGGTGGTGCCGTCCGGACCAACAGAATAGTCCCAGCTGGTGGAGCTGGCGGCGACCTGGGCGCCCGACCACGGGTTGGCACTTCCCGCGGAGGTGGCGCAGTTCTGGGCGGCTGCCCCTTCAGAGCCAGCCCAGCGGGCGGGACCCAGGGCCTGGGAGACGTGGCTCCAAGGGACCGAGCCGGTGCACGGCAAGTCTGTCCAGTCTCCCGACCACGGAAGAGCCTGAGGGGCGGGTTCTGTGAGGACGAACGGACCCCAAGTGAGAGGAGCCCAGGTGTCCCGATCCCTGGCCCCCTCGGGGGTTCTAGGGGTCGAAGCGCGCAGTCCTGGCGCCTGGGGCCCCACGCTCCAGGATCTCGATCATGCCACCTTAAGGACACAGGCGTCCCCCGTCCTATCCCCGTTGCCCCTCAAAGATCGGGGAGTCTAAAGCTCTAGTCACAATGGAGGACCCCAGTCCCCTCCTCCCCCCACCTCTCCGCACACACTCACCCACCCCCCATGGAGCTTCTGGGTACGGTAATGTGGAGCCCCAGTCCGGCTGTGGGAACCCTGAGAGGGATAGGACGTACCAGAGTTTAGGGGATGGTGTGCACAATGACTAGAGACTCCCCTCAGCCACTCAACCCAGTGGTCTTTATTTGTCAGAGACTGAGAGTTATTACCCCCGCCCCTACTCTCTCAGACCTGGGACTCAGGAGGCTGTCTGGGCCCCTCCTCCTTCAACCTCTGGAGTTCAAGCCCACACCCCTCTCCCAGCTCAACCCCAGGAGTCCAGGCACGCCCCCTTCCTCCCTTAGAAGTCAGCCTCTCACCTTCCCCAGCGCTCAGGGATCCCAGCCCACAGACACTTTTCCAACATGTCTCCGCTGTCAGCGTGTCCCCTTGGAGTGCCAGTTCAGGGAAATAGAAGTCGAGTTCAGCTCCTTCTGCAGGCAAGAAGGTTAGAGCCCCGTCAGGGTCAGTGGAAGCGCCCACCTGAGCACCCTTCCCGCACACATTGTCTCAGCCCCAGCAGCCTACCCAGCCCTGACAGCCTGCTCCCCAGGGGCACTTCCTGTGCTGATGCTTCATCCCAGTTCCACAAATCCATGGCTGCTCGCTGTGAATATTCTGGGTCAGAAAAAAAAAAGGGCCCAGGGTGAGCTGGTGACACTTAGGGTCCCTGGAGTCTGAGCCCCATCCCTTGCTTCACTCAGACAGAGGAGTCCGGGCCTCTGCTCCCTCCTTCCCCAGGACCCTGGATTGTTGGCCTCCAGTGTCCTTTTCTCTCAGACCAGGAGTTAAGGGCCCCCAGACACCCAGACCCAGGAATCCAGGCCCCCAGACACCCAGACTTCCAGTCCCCAGTTCACAGCTCACCTCTGGCAGGTCCCTCTGCCCTCAGCCGGGGGTCTCAGCCCCATTTCATACC